AGGGTTAAGTCAGGTGCGCGCCGACCCCCATTTTCAGGATCTTCAGGGACCCGGGTGCACGCACGGGGGGCGGGCGCACTTTGGCGCCATCAACCCTACCTGCTACACACAGAATTATGTATTGTTGAGCAAGATTCAGTAATTCTGGGAAACTCCAATTTTTCTAGAAGGATTTGTCAATAGTGAGATCAAATTACCAACTTAGGTGTGGCTACAATTTTACTTATGCCGCCTACGGCTACTGAACTCAAGGATGTAGACGCCGGACTTGAGACAGATGCAGAATCCATACACTTATCCTCACCGCAATGAGAGAGCACACGAAAGAAGAAAAAATTGATATTGTTAGAAAAAAAGTAGAGGACTGCTTCGCATGAAGAAAGCAAAACTTACAAATGGCTGTAAACTCACCTGCTCATCTGCATCAATTTCCTTTGCACCGTTCTCAAAATTTTGCTAATAGATTCCCCTCCGTACCGGTCCCTGGCGTAAAGTAAAGCGTGTCACGTAGCTTCTTTTGCTCATACGATTCATTGACTATCATATGCTTTGATCATTTTCAGGCTATAGGATGTAATTTTCAGATACATTTTTGATTTCCCAGATGACCCTGCAACTAGCCTTGATAATGGTCCTGCAGCCCATGCTTAAGTACCTAAAGGACTGACCAACAGAGTGGCCATTACCTTTGGAACCAAGCCTCTTGAGTAAGAGCCAACTGAAAGGGGATGTGCAGCTGAGGACAAAAGCTGCTGCTGTGAAAGATTGGGTTAGAATTGATTTGGTTCAGCAGCCAGATGAAACTGGACTTGGTAGTCCAGACTACTTTAGTACTTGCTTGAAATCTTCTTCTTTCAAATCAAACAGCTGCACCAAACCAAGTTCTGTTTGTGTTGCTGCTGGAAATGGATTGCCAGGGGGCCACAATTTATCAAATTGAGGGAGATAGGATTGTTATGATTATGGGTTTGTCAGTGTGTTTACATGCTATATTTTCCTGGTGGGTCACTTCTGCTGACTCAAAGTGTAGCTTATCATCTTATGTGCACAGCATGTTTAATTTTTCTTCTATCATTTAAAAAATCCTGGTGAAGATCTATGGTGAAAACCCCCTATTGCTATTGTGAAACTTGTTTGGTAACCAATGGGGAATGATAGTGGCACGCTGTGGGATGCTTTATGGTTTACCATATCGCTAAAATAAAAATTTTATTCATTTTCTCTTTCTTAGTCTATTTTCTCTATTTTTCTTTAGTTATCACTCTATATCTCTATTTTCTCTATATTTTTTTTCTTTAGTATCACTCTATATCTCTACAGACTCAAAATCTATGGCTCACAATACCCTTACTAGCCACTTACAGTTTATTCATAGCTCTACCCTCTCTTACTCTACATCATTACTGGCACTGACACCCATCATTTACAACCCTCAAGGATACATAGACAGGACATCACATACACAGACACACACACAGGCAAGGAATGGCTGGCCTGCATGACCAATACAAAAGTATACATGCAGGTGCAGCAGGTTGCAGCAAGGCGCATAAGTCCTGCATGACCAGTACAAAAGTATACATGCAGGCACAGCCGCTTGCATGGATGAGTGGCTTGTCACTGCCTAGCAACTGCATATTACATCATTAAAGACATTACAAAACCCTGCAGAATACACATCAAATCCTGACCAATCACAAGCACTCATTCAGCCTGCAGCAAAACCTCACACAGGGCTGTACAATCCTGACCAATCACATTCACCCATTCAACATATGTATTCCTCATGTACCTAGTCACACTGCCTCATGTAGTGCCCCCCTTGGGGCCAAAATACCTCACTCTTTTCTATATAAGGAGGCTCTCCTCCCCCTCAGTTGTATCTTTTTTCTTTCCTCAGCAGAGTACTGCCCTCAGCAGAGTACTGCACCAGTGTTTCCCCTATAACATTAACAACCTGCTCAACCATTATTATACTCTTACATATTTTATTTACATACATACCATTGAAATATCAATTATTACACATCTCTCAACCCATATATAATTACCCAACCCTTATTTTAGGAGCCCCTTCAGCCAACTTGCACCTGGTTGAAGCCTTGGCCCTTTCAGTACATATTAATTACATATAAATACCTTACACGACATACCATCCACGGCTCAGACGACAGTTATCTTTTGATAACACTCCACTATCACTATATAAACCTGCCAATCTGAGATTGGTGGGCTTGTTTTAGTATCTAGTGAACCAGGAAAGGCAGAGGCAACCTCACACATCCCTTTCCACACTCAGCAAAAGGTTCTCAGGGATAATTTTGAGCTTAACAACGCCATCCCCCCTTGTGCACTCCAAAGCGCACGCCATCCGCAGATTGGCGTGTGCGCCCGCACGCCAATGCCGATTGGCGTGCAGGCCCGCACGCCAATCTTCAGCGAGGTAGATTGGCGTACAGGTCCTAAACCCATATCTATATGGGTTTAGGTGGGTGCTATGGGATAGCCGACTTGTTTTTGCAAAAAAAAGAATAAAAAAAGTCTGCTTGAGGGGCGGTGAAGGCCTCCCAGCCCCAAGACTTGTACGGTCTTAAGGTCGGAGGAATGCCTCCGACCTCAAGGCAGCGGTCCCAGCGCCGGGAGGAACCCCTCCCGGCGAACCTGTGTTTGTTCGCCAGCTCGTCGGGAGGGGCTCCTCCCG